TAAATGGTTCGATAATATCAATTAATTAAAATCATCACATCAAAAACTTAGATAACTACATTAAAATTACTAATTTTAAAAATCTAAAATATATTTAAAAAAACTCAAATTATAGATTAGAAATAAAATAGAATAAACAAATACTCTTTACTTTATATTATATTTAAGTTTGTGCACAAATGTTAACCTTCTTAACAATAAAGAAACAAGTATAAAAATATAAGGATAGTATTTGAAGAATTGAATTTTGAAGATAAAGACTATTTTTATATAAATTTATTCTAGTATATCAATTAACAATAATAATACATAAAATTTAAAAACTAAACTAAAAAAAGTAAGTTTAAATTTATAAAAAAATACATTACTAAAAGTATCATATTATATTAAGATTTTCATTATTTTCGATTAATTATAAATTTAAATGTGTTTCATAAATAAAATTATAAATTTAAATATATTTCCACTTTTGATCCATCATAAATAAAAATAAATAGTCTCTTATAAATGTTGTTCTATTTTAATCCATCATTAAATTTGTTTTATATACGAATTTGATGACTTATCATATTATTAAAAATTTAGATGAAATAATTATGTATAATACTTTTTTAGTATATTATATTTTTAAATTTGCTAATAGAGAAAAAGTTGCAAAATTCAAAATGTTAAATACTTTTAAATATTAAAATTGATTTTATAAAAAATTAGGAAAAAAACAATTAATCCAAAAATATAATAATGATAAAAATATTATAAAAAAGAGTTCAAAAATATATTATAATATTTTTAGTTTTAGTTTAATTATATTTTTAATTCTCAAAGTAGAAAAATATATTGTAATTATTTTAATTTAATAAAATATAATTTAAATTTTTAATACTAAAATTAAAATATTAAATGATAATAAATTTAATTCTTTAAATTTAGTATTTAGAAACTAAAATTATAGTTTCTCTGTTTTAAAAAATTAAAATAAATATTTAAAAATAAAAACAAAAACTAGTATTATCTTAAATTTATTAAAAGTATAATTAAATCTCTATTTTCTTATGCAATTTTAGAAATTTTTTAATGAAAATCCAATATATAAAAAAGTTGAAAGTTTAAAAAGGCACAACCTTAACTTATATTAACTATTTTTTTTGAAAAAAGCTGACAAGAAAAACTTGGCTTTGAAAAAAAAGTTAATAATTTTGAAGTTATTTAAGTGATGAAGTTTAAAAATGTGATATATAAGTTTATTGAGCAAAATTGGAGGTATGTTGAATATAAATTTAAATATATTTTAAATTTATTTAAATATGGTTTATTTTTAGTATTAATAAAATAGATTAATTTTAAATTTTAAAATTTTTCTAGCAGTCTATTTTTAATCTTTGTTATTAATTATGTTAAAAATGAAAAATATTAATTAGTATACTTAAACTAAAAAATATTTTAACTAAAGATAAATATATTTTTATAAATAATTTAATTAAATAATATATTTATTATTTAATGTATATTGATATAATTTTTTTTGTATATCAATTATATGACAACATGGTTAAGTAATTAATAATAATAAAGCAATACATTTAAAAATTAGATTAAAAATAAAGTATTATAAAATAAAATTATAATAATTTGATTAAAATTGTAATTTTTAATTAATTAAGTTAATGAGGAATTAAAATGTGATAATTTGATGTGTTTAATTTTATTAATATAAATTTTTAAAATATAATTTAATTTCAATTGAAAAATAAATTAAAGAATATTTGTTATTAAACTTTTCTTAAACAATGTATTGAATAGTTAATATCACTCTAGTCTTAATTTATTACAATTTAAATTTTTAATAAATTTGATTTATTTTTAATAATATTTTTATTTTAGTAATTTAAAATTAAATTTAATCTTCGTTTTGTTGATATTGAGACCAAAGTTTATTTTTTAAGTATATTTTAAAAATTAAATTATTTTTAAAAAATAAATTACTTTTAAAAAATAAATTGTAAAAAATATACTAAAATAATTAAAGTATATTTATAAAAAAATAAATTTAAATATAATAAAAAAATAATATTTATTAACGATCGATTTCAATTCGATTGCTATTTTCTCATTAGCGATCGATTTTAATTCGGTCACTATTTCAATTTGTAATTCGATCGCTAAATCGATTCGCTAAATAATTTTTTTATTTTAGTATGAAATACCCACTGATTTAGCGATCGAAATTTTGCGACGCAAATTATTGGTCACTATTTCGGTCGCTAAATAAAAAAATGAAACCAAATCATATTTCGGTGGCTAAATCGGTCAGCTAAATTGCGACCGAATAAACTTGATCAGCTAAATCGGTCGCTAATTGTGACTGAATTAAAGCGGTCGCTAAATCGGTCTCTAATTGCGATCAAAATTAAATCTATCACTAATTGCGATAAAAAAATTCGGTCACTAATTTTGGTCACTAAATATATTTTTTCTTGTAGTGATAAGTGAGTTATCATAATTACTTGAGTTTATGCGATATAATTATTTGAGTTTTATTATATTTTAGGATAGTTTTCACGTATATGAGATAAGTTGGTATTCCAATATCTCAATATTTACAAAATATTTAAATATTATCTAGATGTTTATTATGAGAATCTTGACAGGAATTTTAAGACCGATTAAAAGTTTAGATAATTTCTTTAATCTTTATAAAATGTGGGTTTTAACTTTAATTCATATAATCCTTAACAAAAATATGTTTTAGCAGTCAATTATTTATTTTAGATATTGTTATTATAATGTAAAAATATAATATATTATATTTAAAAAGATTTAGATAATAGTTATTTAATTTTAAAAAATAGTTAAGACATAATTAAATGAAAAAAACTATCTATTTAATTTTTACATAAATAATTAAATCTATTACAAGTAATAAAATTAATATTATAAACTTTTAACTTAAGATATTTATAATATGTAAAATGATTTTCAACGTCAAACTGACAAAACAACTAGTTGAATGTAAGAGATACAAATTTCATAATTAAAAATAAAATTTAAAATTTAAAAATATTCAATCTTATTTCTAGTTTCTTTAATGTATCTCATTCATGAGTCCTAACATAAAAAGAAATAAAAAAAATACTATCATAATATAAATATTGAGAAAGGATTTTTTTTTCTGACAATTTTCACTAATACATAGTGATAATGAATAATCATAATGCATGTGTAAATTGTTACATACCTTGCATAAGACCTAATATGTAGCTGAAACTAGCATGCACATCTGCCAAGCTTTGTGGAGTGAAGGAACCATTTGCAGGCAAACATGGAAGAAATCGAATTCTTCTCATGTCTTGGCATCCAGCAGACAGTGATGATTGCAAATAGGAGAAATAGCCACAGAGTCCCATTTTAAGCCACTAGGATGGTCCAAGCCCATTTTGACTTTGAAGACAATACTACGTCCCAACAGCATTGAGTATCTTGATTATTAATTTTATGGTTAAATAATATATTATTAATAAATAATAAATAAATATAAAAGGAGAAAAAAAATGAAAGAGTGTGAGAATAAAATTGTAAATATATTAAATGATCAATAAATTTGGGAGCTAAAATCATAAATTATATGAAAATTATAAGAGAAGATGATAACATTGTAAATATATTAAATGATAGTTTGGGGGACCAAAATCATAATTTACATTTATAAAACTTTGGGGGTCACGACTCCCTCAATTCCCAAAAAGATTCGTCACTGCAACCCGATCCTTCCACTCCGGTTCTTGCTCACTTTGGTCTTTGGTCATAGAGTCTATATGGTGCCATGTTTAGAGCCAATTTCTCACAAAAGTTTAACAATGTATCTGGATAAAGTATTTTATAATTTTCAAAAAATTTAAATATGTTAAATTTATTTAGACTAGGTAATATTGATTGAATTTTAATTTCTTATATGGATAAAGAATTTCAATTACTCCCAAGTACAAAAAGTAAAGTAGGTCCAACTCATAGTATTAGTCTCTTATATACATGGGTTATATTAAACTCAGACTGATTATGACAAGTTAGATTAAGTCAAGTAGGAGCGGGACAAACCAAACTGGTAAGGTTGGACCTGATCAAGTCAAATTGTAATGGATCAAGAAGCCTTAGTAAAGTTAGATTAGACTGATAGGTTGGGATGAGTCAGATTGTATCAGGCTATGTTGGAATAAGATTGGTTAGAATAAGATTAATTGAACTATGTAAGGTCGACTTGGATCAATATGGGTCACGTTAGATAGTAATTGAACATGATAAATCAAAATAAGATAAGTTGGGTACTAAGACAATATATGTTATGAGGGGTCAAATTAAGATGAGTTGGGATAAACTAAGATGAGTCAAGTTAAAATAAGTTGGATAGTTAGGCTGGACTTGATTAGGAAAAGTTAGATCATATTAGGATAAGCTAGGTTAGGATGAGTTGGACTGAGTTAAAATAGATTGGGTTAAGTCAACACAAGATGTACTAGGTTGAGAGTGATCGGACAAGAGTGGTTCAAGTATAGTTAAAATGTATCAAGTTGGTTCAAATAAGGTCATGACAGGTCGGTCTGAGGTAAGCTAAACCATGTTTATATAGGTCAAATGATCCTAAAATGGGTTAAGCATAAAAAAATTGAATTCTTACTTTTTAAGTAAAATTTAAAATTATTTTATTTTAAATAATCAAAATATCCTTTAGAATTTTAAAAAAATTAATTACTTTCTAAAATTTTCATCCAACACAATTAATTTTATCATGAAACATTTCAAATTCTATATTAAAATAAATTATTCTCTATAAATTTTGCATCTACACACAAGCTAAGATTTTGTGCCGATGGAAGTTTTATATCTAACACTAATTATGTTAACATGTAAGATCCACTTTGTGTGAAAAAGTATATGTTATGTGTGATTCTGTTCTTTAGCCTTTGTTTGTTTCAATTGATGTATTGTAGCAGAGGATGGAAGAGTGGATGCATGAATGGTTTGGATCAAATGATTTGAAGGGAAATGTGAGGATGAATTTGAGGGAGTGAGACGAAAGGTATATTCGCGACATGATATTAAATTTGAGTGAAGAGAAGAGAGCAGAACGCCTACTCACATGATATTAAATTACAGTTTGCCCTTGAATTTTTAATTGTGACTTTTAGCTTTTGCATTTTGCATGGTGTGTGATTTTATTTTATTTTTTATTGTGCACGACATGCATTTGTAGCATACATATATTCTTGACAAGATTCCTCAAGACATAGTGATAAATAATGGAGATTCCCACATGCATTGACCACACTGTAGTAGCTAGAATTTTAAATATGATATTAAAAACGCGTAAATGAGTGGTGGTTCATGTATTTATGTTGTGAAAGTTGAATTTTGTGGTGGATGTGGTTATGATTCGTGTTGTCCTTTTGAAGGGTAGTGTTGTTTTGGTTTCTTAAGTTAGACTAGTGTCCTTCCCATAGTGGTTCCTCTACTGTAATTGTGAACTTGCATGGAGATGGGTTGGTTTTGTTCGTCTGGTGCATTTGTGAATTTTAGTGTAGGGTTTCGTTGTGGTTGGAATCAAACGTGAGGTGTGTTTAAAGGGTCGTGATCCTTTCAAAGTTTTGTAATTCCTATATAATTTATGATTTTGGTATCTTTCAAACTTAACGATCATTTAATATATTTACAATTCTATCATCTCTACATTCCCTTAATTTTGTAACTCTTATATAATTTATGATTGTAACCCCAAACTTAATGATTATTTAATATATTTACTTATATATTTACAATTTTATCCTTTTATCTTTTCATTTTCTTTCACTCTTTTATATTTATTTATTATTTATTAATAATATATTATTTGTTCTTCCAAAAATTAATGGTCAAGGTAATTTTATTTGTGATTTTGACTTTGTATTGTGTTGTAGGTGGTGGTGCTATTGGAGGTGGTGATTGGTCGTGGTAATTCTTTGGTTTGTAGTCATTGTGGTTCTTGTTGGTTGTTTTTTTAGTTTGTTGTCGTCTTAGTTTGTTGGTGGTGTTTCTTCTCGGTAGTGGTAATGCTACTGTTGTCTTTCCTGGTGTGGTCTCGTTTTGGTCTGCTGCTTTTCCTTAATGTTGGTGGTGGTGCTCGTATGTGGTGGTGTCCTGATGCTTGTACTCCATCATTTTTTATAGATTTTCAATAGGTGAGTAAAACTATATATATAGATGTTGATTGAAAGTGCGTGCTTTAATTTTGTAGAATTGAATAAGCACATACGTGATGATTGATTTAATTTAATGTTGTCTTATTTTTCATGCATGTTAGGTAGTATTTTGTATATTAGGTCTAGGATTCGTTATATATTAGGTTTAGGATGGATTTAAGATTAGGTTTGTAAGGTTAAAATTAATTAATGTGCAAAAGTTAAAATTTCATATGTAATTTGAAATATTGAATTTTTTATATAATCATAGAAAATTATCATTTATTATAAAAAAATTAAATAAGTTAAATTTAAATTTAAATATATTTGTAATATATTAAAAAAATTAAATTTATGTTAAAATTTTTATTACATTATCATTTATGATAGACATATATTAAAAACAATTAGTATAAATTGCACAATATTAAAATATTATAATGAAGATAAATTTAAATGCAATTATAATATACTAACTTTTTTATAAATGTATCGTTTATTATAAAAAAGATATAAAAAATTATTATGAATATAATGTATAATAATAATATTTTATGAAATTAGGATTAAGGATATATGAATGAATAAAAATAAAAGGTTTTGTGTAATTGTAATGTAAATATGAAATACAAAGTACCAAAATAAATATATTAAAATTATAAATGAATAAATGTTGCAAATAGAATGTGAATGTGTTATATTAATATTTAATATAAAAATGAAAAGTGACTTAGTAAAATTGTAAAATTTAATTGTTTATTTATAAATTTTAAAGATGAGTATTATAATAGGTTGTGAAACATAATATTATAAATTGTAATTTTTTATAGATGATTTTGGTAAAGGTAAATATAATTAATACAAAATTTGAAAATTATAAAGGTTTAATTTTTGAAACGGTTTGTGATATGACACATGAGATAAATTGGCCAAAGTATTTTGTTAACAAAGATCTTCATAACAATATTTTTTGTGGAGACTTTAATTTAATTTAATACTTATGACGAAAACTTGTACCAAAGTAGCAGTAGTGATGATCCCTTGCATTGTTGCTTATGCACTGAATGTGTTACGTTTGTCAAATCTAAACATTTGGAAGTTTGTTCCATAAAAAGAACATCACCGACTACAATTATTGTCATATTTAGTGCATACCAAACAATCTTGTGACATTATTTGGATGAGACCTAAAACATTCATTATGTTATGCAAATGATTAAGGACAACTGGATTGATAAAAGATGCATTTCAATCAATCATCGAGAAACAATTTGCTAAATTTCTTCACATTATTGGGCCTAACATGAAAAATAGAAGTGTTTCATTCTTTTTTCATCAGTTTGTGGAAACCATTTCTTGACACTTTCATAATGTGTTGAATGCAATATTGATGTTGGAGGTAAAATTCTTAATTCAACCATCTAGGATCGACATCCAATCTCATGTTCCAAACAACAACTGATTTTACTCATACTTTAAGGTAATATAGTTTGCACTGCAGTGTCACTTCACATACATAATGCATTACTTTTTATTTACACTACCATTTTTCTTTACCCTTCAGGATTGTTTATGAGAAATAGATGACACTCATATATGTGTTAGGGTTCCACAAGCAGATGTTCCTAATTTCTCAAAAAGAAAAGATTGACCAACGCAAAACGTATTTGTAGCTTGCAAATTTTGACATAAAATTTATATATGTTTTAGTCGGGTGGGAAGGAATAACATCTGGTTCACGAATATTAAAGGATATCCTCATTTGAGAGGATCCATTGATTATTCCACAAGATGAGTTGAATGGAATTTGGTTCACTTTATTAATGTTGACTTAGAAATTATTGAATATAATATTAAATATAATGATTGTAGAAAAATACTACCTTGGGGATGTTGGCTTTATGTTAAAGTAAAATATAATAACACCATATCGCGATGTTAGATATCACCTAAAAGAGTATACCGGAAGAGGTCCCCAAAATCCAAGAGAGTTATTTAATCTTTGTCATGCATCACCTAGAAATGGAATTGATATAACATTTTGTATTTTAAAGAAATGATTTATTATCATAGCTAGTAGAACTAAACCACATTACTCATTGGAGTCGATAACAAATATTATCTTAACATGTTGTATTTTTCACAATTATCTCTATGAAGTGGACAATGATGAGGCATTGGTAGTTGAAGTTGATCAGGAGTTGATGGAACAAGATGTTCAGTCATCCGACACTCAAGATCAGGATAATGATTATAAACTAGGGATAAACCTTATAGATGTTATTGTGAACAATATATGAAGAGACTAAAAAACAATTAAGATGTTGTATTAGTTATTTTAAGGGTTAAGTATGTTTTTAGTCCCTATACTTTCATGTGAAATTGAAAATAGTCTCTCTGTCATAGTTCACATAAAAATGATCCCTATACTTTTAAAATGATTGAAATAGGTCCCTATTTTAAACGGTGTTAAGTATATGCTGGCCTGTCTAACAGAAATGGTATGACTCATTCATTATTTGACATGTGTCATTATTTAAAAAAAATAAAATTAAATAAAATTAAAAGGTGTCAAGCTTTTAAAATTCATTTAAAAGCCATTTAAAAAAAATTTAAACTTCTCTGTCATTTATAAGTCATTTAAACTTCTCTATCTTAATTTTTGGAAATGAAAACCCTAGCTATGATATACCACCGTCGCACACTGCCATTGTGCACCACCGTCGCACTGCTAGTTTAACCACAACGAATCGATGAAACCCTCGAACTTCAAAGTTACTTTGACTTCATACAACATTTATAGAGAAATGGGAAGAAAGAAAAGACCTTTGGTGTGTGACGAGAAAAGAAGAGAGAACGAAAAGTAGTTGTGACGAGAAAAGAAGAGAGAATGAAAAGTGGTTGTGACGAGAACTGAGGAGCTTTGGTGCGTGAGGAGAAAAGAAAAGCTTCTACTTTTTAATTTTGTTTTTTTATTTTTAAAAAAATAATAATCTCTGTTGAATAATTTCTATTTTTTTTAAAGAAGAACTTTGCTTTTTTTTTTTAATAATTACACGTGTCAAATAATGAATGGGTCATACTATCTCTACGAGTCACCATATATTTAACGTTGTTTAAAATATGGACCTATTCTAATCATTTCAAAAGTATAGGGATCATTTTTATGTGAATTTTGATGGAGGGACTATTTTCAATTTCACATGAAAGTAGAGGGACTAAAAACATACTTAACCCTTATTTTAATATATAAAAATGTTGTCATTGATTTTGTTAACTTATCAAGTAATTTGTTGTTTAACCATATTTATATATGATTTTTTTACAATTTTTGGAAAAAGTTTTGTTTGCAATAGGTAAATCATGTATAGAGGTAGGAATAGTGTCCTTAAGTCATCTACAGGAATCAAAGAGTTTACTAAATCAACAATAAACATGGATTTACTACTACTAATCATGGTTAATGAGGCCTGTTTGGGTAATCAAGTTGATGGTAGTTAGACCACGTAGGCGTAATAACATTGTTAAGTCCCCTCGACCATATGAGTTGGTCGTTTTAACAAAAAGTGTTAAAAATAGGCAAAAGTCCTTAAGGACAGATGACGAGAGGTTCATGACCTTTTTGCTAGCCTTAGTAGGCTTGCATGGAGTGAATCCACTAACTTGTTTGAGGCTGAACCAAAAGTATGGGATGACTTAAAACAAGTGTATGATAAAGCTTTCTTTATTATAATCAATATTCAAAACTTGAAAATGTCTTATTTATTATGTGTGTTCGTGATTTGTGGGTAAAACCCTTTTCTACTAAATGGAGAGTCACCCCTACCAGACACTATGATTTGATGGAAGAGTTATGGGATCCTGATCATGCCACTTGGCATGGAGTAAGTGCGGCATGTCAAATCCGTCAACCCATCCAAAGACGAACTTATAGGGTGGATTTGAACGATGATATGGAGTACATCCCAGAAGAGCCCGCATTTCATGGTACAACAGATGATATTCCTCGATCACCCCCATACGTAGATTACCATAGTCTAGCATTGACTCTACCATTCCATCTGGTGGTACGTCCTCTTCCTAGGACTCAAAAAGAAAAACATCAATGATAGATGTCATGAAAACCCAATTTCACAATTTGGATACCAAATTAGATGTTTTTGTCCAAGTAATGAGCAAAGATAAGTCATTGTTACTGAACAAATAAATGAACTACTATGGAGGACCTCAAACTTCCATCACTCTGAAACTTATATTTGGCAACTGTTAGTTAACATGCAAATGGATGACAAATAAATAATAAACTAGTGTTACGATTTTCTGTGTGTGAACTCGTCACATACTAAATGCCTATTTGGGATGTCACTAGAACATCATTTCAACAAGTTAGTTGATATGATGTCCGAAAAATGGTGATGTTATTGTCTTTAGGGTTTAGAACTTCTTAACCTTGAAGTACTTATCTAAATATGTAATATTTTAATACGATGTATGACACAATTCTTATAATATTTATGTTATCTATTTTTATTTGAATTTACGTCTTCATTTATTTTATTTAGTGGTTATCATTAATTGCATTATGATTAATTAAGGCTTGTACTCACACTTTTTATATGAATGATCTTTTCATATTAACCAGTGGCGGATCTTGACCATTGATCTTGAGGGGACCAAATAATATATTATTAATAAATAAATATAAAAGGAAGAAAGAAGATCAAATGATGAAATGATAAAATTATAGATATATACTTAAATATATTAAATGATCATTAAGTTTAAGGGGACAAAATCATAAATTATATGAGAGTTACAAAACTGAGTAAGGGCTGAGATGATAGAATTGTAAATATACAGGTAAATATATTAAATGTTCATTACTTTTTTTGGGGGGGGGAATCATAAATTACATGGGAGTTACAAA